TTATAGTGATCTATTGCAGTCGGTTTCAATCCCTGGTGGGCTAGAACCATGGGAGGACAGGACTGACCTTTATAAATTGACCCTATCAATATTACAAACTATGCCTAGCAAACTGGAAGAACTTATAGAGACAATTAACAAAGAAGACAGCAATAAAGGTTACACTACATGTTAATTATGATCAAACCTAATGGTTATGATTTTCAATTTAATATCAGTTCTTGTTTTTCCCTATTTGATTTGTTGATTCAAAAAGTTACACTACAAGTAAATTTTGATCAAACCTTATGGGATCGATACAAGAATAATGAAGGTAGTAACAAAAACAAGTAAAACTCATAATAGAAACAACACCAAACAATTATCTTGTAGCAAATCTCAACTTTTGAATTTCGTTTTATGTGAAAAAAAAAACTAAGAAAACGCATTACCATTTCTCATGGTTGAAAATCAAAGAGTTACAAGCAAAAAATAAAATATAACATGGCCAATGGCCACACTAATTCATCATCAAGAATTATTCAAAACACAAAATCACTACAACTCCTTTTAGTGGTGTGCCTTGGCTGCAGCTTTTCTTTGCGAATTTGCCTTTGACTGAAAAATTATTTGCACAAAAAATAGTTAATTTTAGATTTTTGGTTAATCGTTATACGTACAAAGGGGTATTAATGGAACTAAATTCCATCCATTGGTTAAACACAAACCAAATGTGCCCTAAATTGCAGAAATCAAACACATAAATCACAAACCAAATGTGCCCTAAATTGCAGAAATCAAACACAGTCATATAGTGGCACAGAGCACAAATTATTAAAAACATAAAGATACATGTGAATATGATCAAATGAAGCATTTCTCACTTCATAAAACATATGTAAGAGGTGCTAAAGACGTAATTATATATGGGGAATTTCATCAAACACTTGGTGTTCGTCTAAACACCATGGAAAGACAAAGGTAAATTGCAGAAATCAAACACATAAATCACAAAAATGGAGTATAGGAGTTGATAATTCATTGAAATATGAACAAAAACAGAAACAATAGAGATGCACAATAGATTAATATAATAAATCGAGAAGTAAAAAAAAGCAGATGACCATAAGTCGATTTAGGGATGGAAGTTACGACAATGAAGGCCTGAACATCTTTACTCCTCTCTCTCTCTCTCTCTTCTCGTTAAGATGTTGGCGAGACTTGGTTGGCGACCCCTTTGTCGGAAGATAGCGGGCGGTGTTTAGCACCCTTAGCGACCCATGATGACCTTCCTAACGACGCCCACTCCTTTGAGCCTGATAATCATATCGAGAGTGCTAGATTCAGATTCGCTTTCTATTCAAACATGTCCAATTTTTTTGCAGGATACGGTCCAAATTTTTACATAGGAACCCCCAAATCATTCAAAACTAGAAAAAGATATGTGAAGAAACGAAAAATAAATTGATTACCTGGGTCTCTAATGCAGAAGTTTCAAAGGTGATGACGAGATGCAATCGGGAAGCTAATGGAGCAAAGTAACGGTTCTTCGTCTGTGTGTTTTTCGATTTATCTATGGGGAATCTGAAACAAACGAGAATCAAGATTTGCATTCCTAATATTGAGACTTGAGAGTATAATTAGGGCTTTTTCTAACAATTTCAACATCGAGTGGGAGATATGGTGGTTCCAGTGGGTAGAAGTAAATGAGGGAAGAAGTAGGCGGCAGTAAGGAAAGAGCGTCCATAATTTGGGCAAGAGGGAAAGGAGAAAAAAAAGGAAGGCGGGGTTTTTAAATTTTTTCAGAATTTCATTTCCCCCTACTATTAAAGGATGGAACGCGCGTTCCATTAAAAAATATAAAGCGACATCCTTAGACGACGCGCATTTTATTATAGGTGCCCTCCGTGTTTTTTTTAGACACTAATTTAAGGGAACACAATAATGCATGTCCTCTATCCTTCAATTTTTTGAAGAGATGAGACTTTTTTAATGTCACTCTTTTTTGTGTAACATAAATCAACAAGTGTCGTGGTTTGCACGTCGTAAAAGGGTCTTTTTCTTGTAGTGCATTTGAAAATACTATTAAGTAAGGGAGGCCACCATGGAGTCATCAAGTTGAAAATTTGGCAACAAGTTTTTCGGACCCAATTAAGTCGTCTTTGGAGGAGCCACCCACTCTTGAACTTAAAACTCCTCTTTCACACCTTAAATACTCTTTTTTAGGATCCAACGAGAACTTACCAATTATCATATCTTTTGATTTGACAGGTCCACAGGAGGAAGCATTACTGAAGGTGTTTTCCAAGTACAAGGGAGCAATTGGATGGACCATAGCAGACTTGAAGAGAATTAGTCCAGCCACATGTACGCATCGAATCATCACTGAAGCTGGAGCAAAGCCATCACGAGATGCACAACGAAGGCTCAACCTGAATCTGCGAGAAGTTGTTAAAAAGGAGGTGCTGAAATGGCTTGATGCGGGTATTATATACCCAATATCTAATAGTAATTGGGTGAGCCCGACACAAATAGTACCAAAGAAGTCAGGAATTACGGTGGTAGACACGGAATATGGAGAGAAGATATCAACAAGACCGGTCACCGGATGGAGAGTTTGCATCGACTATCGCAAACTCAATGTTGCAACATCAAAGGACCATTTCCATCTCCCTTTTATTGATCAGATTATTGAAAATTTGTCCGGGAAAAAGTTTTATTGCTTTTTGGATGGATACTCGGGGTATAATCAAATTTCCATCCACCCCGAGGATCAATCCAAAACCACATTCATGTGTCCCTATTGCACCTTTGCTTTCCGAAGGATGCCATTCGGCTTGTGTAATGGCCCCACCACATTTCAAAGATGTATGATGACTATTTTTTCATACATTGTGGGGGACGCATTAGAAATCTTCATGCATGTTTTTTATATTTTTGGATCTTCTTTTGAGACATGCTTAGACCAATTAGAAAAAGTTTTAAAACGTTGTATTGAGTCTAACCTGGTTTTAAGTTGGGAGAAGAGTCATTTCATGGTAAAAGAGGGAATTGTGCTTGGCCATGTCGTCTCCGAGCGTGGTTTTGAAGTTGGCCGGGCTAAAGTACAAATTATTTCTACTCTTCCCCCACCCACTTCAGTAAAAGGCATCCATTCTTTTCTTGGACATGCCGGTTTTTATCGAAGATTTATCAAGAATTTTAGTGCAATCTCAAAACCTCTTTGCAATCTACTTTTAAAAGATGCACCATTTTTCTTTGATAAAGCATTTCTTGAAGCATTCACCATTTTAAAAAACAAACTTGTTGAAGCTCCTATCTTGCAATCACCCGATTGGACTTTACATTTTGAAATTATGTGTGATGCGAGTGATTACGTGGTAGGAGCAATTTTGGGACAACGGGTGAATAAAAAACCTGTTGCAATATGTTATGCAAGAAAAACTTTTTCGGATGCACAATTGAATTACACTACTACTGAAAAAGAGTTGCTTGTGGTCGTGTTTGCACTAGACAAGTTTAGATCCTACATTTGGGGGTCTAAAGTTGTAATTTTTACCGACCATAGTGCCATCCGCCACCTCTTGGAAAAGAAGGATGCCAAACCACGTCTCATTAGATGGATCCTTCTTCTTCAAGAATTTGATCTTGAAATCCGGGACAAAAAGGGTTCCGAAAATGTTGTGGTGGATCATTTATCTAGAATAACTAATAATGATAACTCACCGGAAGTTATTCAAGAAAACTTTCCGGATGAGCATATTCTTGTTGTCAAAACTATACCATGGTTTGCTAATTTAGTGAATTACTTTGTGACAGGGGAAACTCCATCATATTGGAATGCTCAACAAAGGAGGTTCTTCCACTCTCAAACAAAATACTACATATGGGAGGACCCAGATCTTTTCAAAATTGGATCGGATCAAGTGATTAGGCGATGTGTAACACACACAGAACAAGAATACATTCTTCGACATTACCACTCATATGCATATGGAGGGCATTTTAGTGCTAAAATGACAGGGCACCGGGTTCTACAAAGCGGTTTTTTCTGGCCCTCTATTTTTAAAGATGCACATACATTCATTAAAGCTTGTATTCGTTGCCAACAAGTTGGGGGGATCTCACGACGGGACATGATGCCAATGACCCTACTTTTAGTAGTTGAAATTGTTGATGTATAGGGAATTGATTTCATGGGTCCATTCCCCACTTATTTTGGCAATCTATACATTCTTGTAGCCGTTGATTATGTATCAAAATGGGTCGAAGTCGAGGCTACACGTACGAATGACCATAGTGTTGTTTGTAAATTTTTCAAAAAGAACATCCTTTCTAGACACGGAATCCCTTGAACTATTATTACTGACGGGGGTTCCCATTTTAAAAATTGGCATTTTGCAAAGTTACTTAAACAATGTGGTGTCACACATAGGATTGGTACTCCATATCACCCACAAACAAGTGGACAAGTAGAGGTCTCAAATAGGGAAATTAAACGCATCTTGGAAAAGACTGTTCGTCCCGACCAAAAAGATTGGTCCCTAAGATTAGATGATGCATTATGGGCATATCGAACAACCTATAAGACGCCCATTGGAATGTTCCCGTATCGGCTTGTTTATGGAAAGCCATGCCATCTCCCGGTGGAGTTGGAACACCGTGCCATGTGGGCCATTAAAAAGGCTAACTTTGAATTAAGTGATGCAGGTATGGAAAGAAAACTCCAACTTGTTGAATTGGAAGAGATTCGAAAAGAAGCTTACGAAAGCTCAAGGATCTATAAAGAAAAGACGAAGGCATTTCATGACCGACATATTGTCCGAAAACAATTCGTTGAAGGACAACTGGTGTGGCTATTTAACTCTCGTCTCAAACTCGTCATCGGGAAGCTTCAGAGTAAATGGAGTGAACCTTTTGGGGTGACAAATGTGGCAGATCACGGTGCCATTGAAAACAAAGACACGAAAGGCGGTGAACCATTCAAGGTAAACGGACAAAGACTCAAACCATACATTCGAATGGTAGATGGAGAAATGACACTCGTTGAGAAAACAACGCTCGAGGTACCACAATATTCAGAAACAACTTAGTCGAGGTAAACCGTCCGGCTGAAGACGTAAAACTTAGTGCTTTTCGGGAGGCAACCCGTGGTTTAGTGTGTTTTTACTTTTATTTTTCGTGTTGTGTGTTTTAATTCTTTTTGTATCGAGGATGATCCAAGGTTTAAAGTTGGGGCGGGGGTATTTAATTTTGGTTTAAAATTAATTTTTTCTTAAGATTAAAAAAAATCTCGAAAAATACCCGAAAAACGTTTACGAACAGTCAAAAACACGAAAAATAGCAAAAAATAAATAAAAATAGCCTTCAGGCGTCCTAGGAGACGTCTTAGACGCCGTCTAAGACGCCGATGGGCTGTCACGTCTTTTTCCCCCGATGAAATCCCTTCGCGAAATTACCAAAATGCCCCTGTTTGTGAGAGATGTCCTAGGACGCCACGCGTTTTTCAGCCGTTTTATGGTCATTTTCTGCATAATTGTTTCCCACTTCCTTTTCCAAAGTGCCATGGACGAAAACACAAAGTAAAACCTAATTTTTTTTATTTCTCCCTCAAAACTCAACCAAATTTCGTGATTTTTGTTGCAATCTTCAAGAAATCAAGTGAGAAACATCACATTGCAAGATTTTCACACTCAAATCACTTCTTTTGTCCGATTTTTAAAACTCTCAAAAACTAGGGCTTTGAAATTTGTACTTATTTTCGGGTTTTTGCTTCAAGTTAGTTCTTCTTCTTCACTAGAAACACCATCTCAACAAGGTATCTGCTTCAAAACTCCATCTGTTAGGTTAATTTCGAAATGTCTCTTGTATGTTCATATATTGTAGAAATTTGAATCTTTTTTTTTGAAATATGAAATATAATGGTATGAAATCTATGGATTGGTGTTTGTAGTTGTTAGAAGTATGTTGCAAACAAGTTTCATGTGTTGATTTGGGAATTTTTTGAAAATTGAATTTTTGTTGTTAGTTGTTAATAATCAAAATTGCACATATAATGTTGGAAAATCATTCTTATGTTTACACTTGCGCTTAAATAAAAATTCAAGTTTTTGGAAATTTTCAGAATAACACTGAATTTTGACACTGCATTGTTAGTCTGAATATTTACCCGTTACAGTTGTGTTCTGATTTTAGTTAGAACTTGTCAGTTGCAGTTAAACTTTGGTTTATCTATGTTTTTACTAATTGGATAATTTTTTGAAAAATATTTAGTTACTGAAAAAACATAACAGGACTTAAAACAGTTATTTATTTAGACTGTGTTTAAATTAACTATGTTTGGAACAGCTTGCCAACTGAATTATTGTTTTATTTTTGTGACATTTGATATGTTTAATGACAAGTTTTGTTTTGTGATTTTGTGTGTGATTGATTTTGCAGATGCCAGTAAAGAGATCAAGGGTAGCATCATCAAGCAGTGCACCTAGGAAAACTACGAGACAACCACTCAGACAGTCGGAACCAAATGTACCTGTGGCTTTTAACCCACAGTATCAGACACTTCATGAGCATCCAAGTGATATCCATCCGGTAGTTTATGAGGCCACTCACCCGCTCACAGGATTTATTATGGAGTACATGGTGGAGCGACCGAGTTTCATTACGTACAATATTGTGGAGACGTTTGATCGTTCTAGATGGGGTGGAGCGCTGGACTTCAATCCCACACAGATTTAGGTTGATATAGTACGGGAATGGATGAGGACACTTCGACGTGTCGAGGTACCTGGTAGGCCGGAGGAGTTGCAGCTGATTGGTACGGTTCGTACTCCTGATATAGTGATGACTGTGCAGGGTATTCGGGACAAGTTTCATGTAGATACTGAATATCATCTGCATGATCTTGAGAATCAGCCGACGGAGTATAGATTTATTGACACGAGGGGGGGGGGGGGCTTATTTGGAATTAATTTAGTATTAATCAAGAATTAATTTGGAATTATTTTAGTGATCAAAATAGACTAATTAAATATACGGGGACTGATTTGGTAAATCAGTGATTCTTATAGTGTGGGCCAATGATCCATGCTTATTTAGGATGGGCTAAACCAACATGAATAGTCCATGGAGGTTTAACCCATGGAGCCTAAGTAATATGAAGAGTCATGGCACATTAGGGTTTGCATGGATGTAATCCTAGCACTTGTCACACTATAAAAGGAACTCCCTAGATCTAAAATCGGTTGCTACATACATTCTTGGAGAGTGTAAACCGGTTTTTGTACTAAGCAACTTATTCTCTCAAGCCTCCTTTTGCACTTGGTGTTTGTGACACATTAGAGGCATCACACTTGAGGTGCTAAAGCTTTTGAAGGCCAAGAACTACAAGTCCTACTAAGAGGTAAGTTATCCAACTTAGTTATACTGTTCAATTGTCAAATTGTATGCTAGTTAAGATGTGTGCTTTGGAAAATCAAATTGCATGTATAATTAAGAAAACATAGATCCAAAGCATCTAGGGTTGCATGTGCACATTGTTAGAATGCTCAAAACCCTTCAGTGGTATCAGAGCCTAGGATTGTTTCCTGTTATACTTGATGCTTATTAGTTTTCAAAGTTGAAAAAATCGATTTTCTGGCCTCTGACTGATGAACTCGCTGAGTCCACTGGCTGACTCAACGAGTCCACTCAGTAAAAGGGCAACTCGACGAGTCGGGTTCATGCACTCGTCGAGTTGAAGGCTCTTGTTGCAAAATTTTGAGTTTTTGGCTAAAATTGGATTAGGATCATTACCACAAACTGTTTTTTGAAACATAAAATCTGTTTTCTTGATATGGTAGTGATCATGCTCATCCAATTAAAAGATAATTGTCAAAATTTCAAGATTTGTATTATTTTATATGATTAGGCTAATTTCTTGCAAATTTTTGATATGAATTATCTTGACTTATGAGTTTAACTAGATAATAGATAAATTATTTGATTATTTTGTTAATTAAAATATTGATCTAAATGCCTTTAATGAATTCCATAACTTGTCCTCAAGTTATGGAAAATGAAAAGTCTCACTTTTAAAAAGTCGTTAAACTCATAAGTTATGGAAATGAAAAGTTTTGAAGAGTTTCAAAACTTGCCCTCAAGTTTTGGAATTTGTAATGTCACACTTATGAACACTTTAATTCCAAACACTAGAATTTTAAAAGTTTAAAATTCAACCCTTATACTATTGTAATATTAAAAGTTTAATTATTATATATATGTATAAGATAATTCAGTCTTACCGTTAGTAGGCCTCATTCACGAAGTCGATCTATAAGGGGATATAAGGTTACTACCTACAAAATGGTGGTTTAATGAGTGTCCACTCTCACCCACCGCTTCCTTCACTGGTGGAGGGTCGTTAGCCGAACGGGTAGGATAGGACATTAATTCTCGTTATAAGTATAATGATAATTATAAAGTAACTAAATGTTTTATTAAATTCCCAATCTTAGTTACTTTAGGAAAAATGTGAAAATGATGTTAATCCATGAAATTGCACTTTGCACCTTGCCAAGTCGTTAATGGAGCGTGTGTGGTTAACCGGCACATTAACATGGACTAGTAAGGGTGGAAAAGGGTAGCTTGATGTTTGTCATAGATCAATGGAGCGTGTGTGGTTAACCGGCACATTCATTATGTGATAAATGGCATCGAGTGTACCAAGCACATTTGCATGGTTATTCACGCCTTGTTTGTGCTCCTTGGTATCCCAGTCACAAACTTGAAGGGCATAATCGAGATTTAAACATGCCATTGAAAAGTTCAATGAATCTCAAAAGAATCTACGAATTTCAATTCAATTAAAACTTAATAATCAATTTCGTTTTTCATGGTGGAAATTGGTAAATCGTCATTTACCTACCTTCAAATATTTTTCAATTGGATTATGGCATCGCTCTTCCAAATTGTAAAATATTGTGTTGGGTCCTAGCCTTAATATTTCATTTGGGTGTTATATTAAGGACTCTTATCTAATCTAAACTTTGTGTTTCTTTTTTAGATGTCTTCCAACACTGCTTCTGGCTCAAACCCTACTGGCTCTTTCTCCCTAATGAACTTGTGTGGGAGAGTTATCTTTGATGGTTCCAACTTTAATAATTGGATCAGGAACATCAGGATGGTTACTCGTTACGAGGACAAGGAATATGTCCTCGACAAAGAGCTTAAGGAAATTGATGAGTCTTCTGCTACTCATGAGGAGATCGCTGAGTTTAGGACTCATGAGAAGGATGCCACTAAAGTGTCTTGTATCATGCTGGCCACTATGACAGCTGAACTCCAAAAGTCCTATGAGGACTTCTACCCTTTTGAGATGCACCAAGACTTGATGGAAAGATACCATCAAAGTGCTCGTCAAGGGAGGTATGAAATTATCGCCTCCATGATAACAGCAAAGATGAAGGATGGAGAATCCATCACGGCCCACTTGCAGAAAATGCAAAGGTTTGTGGACCGCTTGCTGAAGTTGAATATGAACTTAGATGAAGAGTTGGCCATAGATATCACTCTACACTCTTTACCTCCATGTTATGATCAGTTCCGTATGACCTATAATATGAACAAGGAGGAGGTCACTCTTAGCAAGCTTCAAGACCTTTTGAAGACGGATGAAAGTAGTCTCAAAGGTAAATCTGTTGTTTCGACTCTTACTGCTACTGCCCCTGTCTTGGCAATTGGGTATGGGAAAGGGAAGAAGAGGAAGGCTCCCTCTAAGAGCCACAAGGGAAATTCTCTTGATGGATCCTCTTCCAGTGGGACCAAAGTTGGTTCTGCTAATCCCTCTACCAACCTGAAAGAAGCAGAATTTTTCTATTGTCATGATACAGGGCACTGGAAACAAAGCTACCCCAAATACTTGCCGGATGTCAAGGATGGGAAGGTTAAGCCCACCCACGCAGGTATTTATACTATTCTATCTAATAACTCATCACATTCTTGTTGTTGGGTCCTTGATACAAGTTGTGGATTACACATTTGTTTTGATTTGCAGGGACTAAAAAGAAATAAGGATGTGGAGCATGGGAAGATGAACTTGATCATGGGGAATAGGAAAATGTCGCCTGTCACCAAGATTGGAGTTTATTCTTTATTGCTTAGTAGTGGGTTAGAATTATATTTGAATAATTGTTGCTACTCGTTTGACATGGCGAGAAATATTATTTCCTTTCATGGTTTGTACAAACAAGGTTTTAGTTTTTCATTTGATAATGAAATTGGTGCTATTAATGCCTTTTATAATGGTGTTTTTTATTTTAAAGTATTGCCTTGTAATGGTGTATATGAAACTGTGATGGTTGTAGACAACTTAGGAAATAATGTGTTGCACATTGATTCTTCCAATAGTTTGGATAAGGCATGCTTGTGGCATTGTCGTCTTGGACATGTCAGCAAGAAGCGCATAGGCCAACTCCAAAAGGATGGAGTCTTGGAGTCATTCGACTTAAGGTCGGATGACACTTGCGAATCTTGTTTTCTTGGAAAGATGACCAAGTCACCCTTCACTGGTACTTGTGAAAGGGGTGAAGGTTTGTTGGATCTCATACACACCGATGTGTGTGGACCTTTCAGAACTGCCACAAGGGATGCTAACCGCTTCTATGTGACTTTTATTGATGATAGCATCAAATATGGCTATATCTACTTAATCAAGCATAAGTCAGAAACCTTTGAAAAGTTCAAAGAGTTTAAAAAAGAAGTGGAGAATCAGCTGGGCAGGAAGATAAAGATGTTGTGATCTGATCGGGGTGGTGATTATCTTAGTATCGAGTTCCACGACTATCTTAAGGAATGTGGAATTATTTCACAATTGACGCCACCTATGACACCACAACTTAATGGTGTGGCTGAGAGGCACAATAAAACCTTGTTGGACATGGTTCGTTCCATGATGAGTCGAGCTTCGTTACCTATCTCATTATGGGGGTATACCTTAGAGACTGCCGCCCATATCCTTAATCTAGTCCCAACTAAGAAGGTTGCCAAAACACCTCACGAGATGTGGACAGTAAAGGTTCCCTCGTTAGCACACATCAAGGTTTGGGTTGCGAGGCTTTCGTGAGACGCGAGACTCACGACAAGCTCGAACCTCGTAGTGAGCGGTGTATTTTCATCGGCTACCCACAAAAATCCTTTGGATATCTCTTCTATAGACCGAGTGACAATGTTGTCTTCGTTGCGAGGAGAGGAGTCTTTCATGAGAGAGAACTCATAGGCCAAGGGGACAGTAGGAGGAAAATTGGCCTTGAAGAACTTCAAGAGTCAAGTGGTGAAGCAACCTCAAACACTAGCGATCAACCTGAGGAGGAAACTCCTGTTGAACCAATTGACGAGTCCGTACCTCTGAGGCGTTCCAGTAGAGTTAGTGTTCCACCAGTGTTATATGGTTTCCATATCACATGTGAGGGTGATACATTTATCAGTGATAGCACACTGGTAAATTTGGATGAACCTAAAAATTACAAGGAAGCCATTGCAGGCCCTGAGTCTGCGAAGTGGAAAGAGGCTATGGACAGCGAGATTCAGTCCATGTATGACAATCAAGTTTGTAACTTGGTTGACAATGTACCGGGTCGTAAGACAATCGGGTGCAAATGGATCTTCAAGAAGAAGATCGACATGGATGGGAAAGTACACACATATAAGGCACGACTGGTTGCGAAGGGCTTTACTCAAACTCATGGAGTTTACTATGATGA